TAGAATGATGCTGACAAGTAGAATGATGCTTTCTTATATATTGAATATCACAATTAAACTCTACTTTATATCATTTGTTATTTATTAGTTATTAAAATTATCTATTTATTTCAATTGCCTATTAGTGACATATAAGCAAATTAAACATCGTTGTTGTGATTAAAGTATTGTTTTTCTAAGGTCTTAGTCCATAATTCTAAACTACTCCCTGTGGGATCGATATCTAGGACTCAATTAGAGCCCGCGTATACTTGAGCGATGCGTATACTTGCGTTGATAAGTGTGACTTTACAATTATTTAATATTAAATAAGTCCATATTCATCTTATATTTTATTGTATATATAAAGTCGCTGTCAAAGTTTTTGGCGCCGTTGCCGGGATTTAAATCTTCTTGCAGCGGTATCAAATTCTTGTATTCTTGAGCATATATAAAGTCGTTGTCATCTAGCATAGTCTAACCCTTAAAGTGCTTCAAGTAGCACTAAAGAGGCAATTCTCGCAGGGGGTTCTCTTGCTCTTTAGCAAGGCAACTTTAGCTGGGAAGGTATCAGATATCCTAATGTAGACATGGATCAGTTGAATGACTGATACATCATGTCATTTGAAGGGGCGGCTAGAACCAACCAATCCGATCAAAAATATCATCTCGGTGGACTCACAAATCCAACCAAAGGGTGTTTTTAAGCAGGCACTAGCGAGGTAAGGCTCGCTAAAAGGGACCCACTAAAATATCAAAGTAGCTATCGTTGGGGAAAGCTCAACTGAAATTTCCTACGAGAATTGGTTGAGGCAATTCTTGTCAGATAAAATATTGGGGCAAATGACAGCATCAAAAGTGGCTCTGACTAAGAACATGGATCAGGTAGATAATAAATGAAGTCTAAACTCGATAAGACATGTTGTTTTGACAAGGCAATAAGAATTGATTGAGTCAAGAACATCAAAGAAGGTAGATCATTAGAACTTATCAACCCTATAGATGATACTGTCACCAATTTTTTTTGTTAAATGGCGTTCGTTGGGGAACTACCACAATATACAAGGGTGGTTGGTCAATATATAACATTCCAACCATAAAGGTACTTGACTCTCAGGTCAATACCAGAAGAATCCTCTAAGAGAGAAAATGTCGATGAGCATGTCTGTCACATTCATCCATTGTGGATGGGACGTGTTCAATTCAGAGCCTATATATAACAGGAAACCAAAGATGTCATGATAAGAGATGCACGATGGCCTCTCTCCCATTGATCATGTTTTACGCCGGATATAGGTCGCCCAAGGGGCATCCACCTTACCTGTTTGGCAATCCCACAATCAATTGAAAAGACACACAAGAAATATCTAACACTTGGCAATTATCAACTGTATTTGACTAACCAATTAGGATATTATAAAGGTTAACTAAAAAAGATGTGCTAACCAAGGAGTGCTTAGCTGTAAAGCTAAGCTTTAGTCCCACAAAAGGGGATCTTCCACACTCGTTTACGATGAGTGGGTGGGAAAAAGAATATTTGGAGGTGTGTCACCCGAAGGGCTGAAAAGCACCGATGAAAAAATCCTTCTCTCTCGGATCACAACTGTCACGGGATTTCCATTAGGACTCGGTAGATCTTTAGCTATTTTAGCAAGAGCATTGAACTTGCAATTAAGGGATCAAGGTATCTTAATAAGAATGACCTCGAGAATTTGCTTCAACAAAGTCATAACCTTCTTACGATAAGCTAGGAGCACAGGCTTGAGGACCTTGTAGGTTTATAGGGCTTGACTTATAATGAGCTGAGCATTGATGCCCATCTGGATAACCAACTCAAGTCCTAAAATTAAGCCTTCTTATTTAGCGGTGTTATTTTTTCGTGGTTCCACTAAACTATAAGAGAAGCAAAGAATGTTGTCCTCAGGTGATTTGAAGATCAACCTGATTCTAGACTGTACCTTTTGGAAGAGATCCTGATGGTCCTTATTTTAAGCAAGAGGCTCCATCAAAGTACATTTCCCACTCCGGGGAATTGACAGTCATTAAATTCTCATTAGGAAAATTGTCATTAAGAGTTGAATATGTCTAGATCGGGTGAGCTACTAGAAAGTAAGCCAGCATCTATCTCTTAAAAGCCCGTTGAAAGACATACAAAATATCAAATTGCGATAATATCATAGCCCATTTGACCAACGGTACAACTAAAGTTGGACGTGTCATGTGATATTGTAAGAAGTTTACCCTTGAGATCAAATCAACATGGTGTGAGAGCATATAATGCCTCAACTTTTTAACAAAGAATATTAATGACAAACAATGCTTTTCAATCGACAAATTTCTCATCTCAACAGGAACAAAATGCCGACTAAGGTAGTAAAAAGCGTTCTCTTTCCCCTCCCATTCTTTTGAGCTAGCAAAGCTCCTGTCAACTCATCAAGAGTTGCAATGCAGAGAATGAGGGATTTACCCGGGACCGGAGCAACTAATACTGGAGGATTCAGTAAGTAGTGCTTGATATCATTGAAAGCATGCTGACATGCTTTGTCATAATGGAAATGAACATCATTCTTGAACATATATGTTCAAGAAAGATTTTCATTCTGTGCTGCTATTTTTCTTATTTGTGGCATGACTATAAGGTCACTGCACCTTTTAGAGATGTTCAACCTAGATTCGCCCTCGAGCCATGCCCAAGGAATATAACACACATAAAAGAAGGAATAATGATCCGCTGAGAAAAGAAAAAAGAGAATCGACTAGAATTCCTTAATCAAAGAATGATAATTAGAGAATCATTTTCTTTTTATGTGCAATGCCTCCTATTTATAGAAGCTCACTCCACACTGAAAGATGCATTGCATCGTTTAAAATAAAAGAATCGCGCCAGAAGGCCTTAAAAGGACCCTTTACAATTTCAGTTTAGTCGATCGCTTATAAGAATAATGCTCCAAATGACAACAACTACGTGAAGTATCATGCCCCCTTTGATCTTTATCTCGAGTTCAATTATGAATGCTTGGGTCATCTGCTCCCGACTTTGAGTTGCCTGATTATGAGTCTAATATCGATCGAGCAATATCAAGCGTCGGCTCCTGAGCAAGACTATTTTGAATCCGTGATCTACCGGCTGGCCCGTTAAGGCAGTTTACATTAAACATCTATAAATTGGTTGTAGTTGTCCGATCTTAAGAGTTTGCTCGACCCCTAGCTCGGTCGACCTTGGGCACACATGACCTATCACGCTTCTTTGGCATTGCCTGACGATTATCCTTTGAAGTATGCTTGCGACGACCCTTGGGCCGCTTGGATAAGGCTTTCAATTCTCGTAATCATACGATGCACGTTTTTTCTTATGTACAATAATATTCAATAAAAAAAATTTAAGAGACAAGTATATTCTCATCTCATAGTAAAAAAAAATTAAATAAAATAAAAAATATAAAAAACAAAATTTAATCCCGCAGCTCCTAAGATAACGGCACACTATCCCGTACATGATGGATGGATGAGCGAACTTCTATGAAAGCCCCAAAAAAACTTTTTGGAAGGCCACCAGATATTACGAACAGGTGAATCTTTGATTTAACAACGCATTAAAGTTCAAATTATATTGTAATCCATGAGTGGAACGTAAAGCAAGTGTTCCAAAAATCGCGCATTTTCTTACAAATCTGAAAAAAAAAAGCAAACTGCCGGCCAATACAAATCGTAAGACATATATATAATCTACGACATATTGAACTAAAAGCTTGACATTATTCTCCACGGGTTTCATTGCCGGGTCAGAAGGGTGATTAAATCCAAGACACGGGAAAAAATGATGTCCTTTTCTTCTTGCAACGTTCTGTGATGGCCTTGGATCCCGCCGACTGCCGGAGCTTCGCCGCTTGTTCGGCCGCCGTTGCTTGTTTCCACTTCTTTCGCCAGCTTCGCGTCCTCTCGATCCGTAAGCCCCAAACCCACTCAACTTCATCATCTTCTTCTACGCAGTGCTCCTTTGAGTGCTAGGGTTTCAACCCCAACTTCTGGCACCCGGTAGGTGTACTGATCTGGAGGCCGAGTAGTTGGGGTTCGTAAAGCTAGGATTTTGGATTCGCTTCTAAGGTTTTCGGGGTCGTTTTTTAATTTGTTGGGAGGAGGGAACGGAAGAAGTAAGAAATCATTTTTTTTCCTTAGTGTGAATTTCAGGCATTGCTGCACTGTTCTGGTAGCCTTGGAAAATGGGCGATTCGGTGAATGTGGTGCTAGAGTTCCTTCGAAAGAACCGGTTCAGAAAGGCTGAAGCGTAGTCGGCCTGATTTGAATGGTTTCTTGCGGAAAAACTGCTCCGAGGAAGAGGAGGTGAGAGTGGAAGGTAAATCCTCTCCTTTGAAACAGCGTGAAGCGTCCCAGGAGTTCATTATTAAGGAGATCGAGGTTGGAAATGGGACTAAGAGTAAGAATGGTCTTCACAAAAACCAGGGCCATCAGGTCAGCGAGAGCAGCATGGCTGATCTATACCCTTGGAATTTCATTGACATTGATTGTAATGCCAACTCTGTTTCTAACGATAATGCTGTGCTAACAAACAGCTTTTCCGATCTCTTAATATCTGATGAGAAGAGATTTGGAAAAGGCTCATGGGTGGGCAGTAGAAAGAATTCAGTTCTTGAAACTAAACTGGATTTGATGGGGAAGCAGAGTACCTCCTATGGTACTCGTAGCGTCGAATTAAAGCCTGGAAACAACCAAACAAGTGAATCCAAAGCCAGTTGTTCTTACCCAAATGACCATTTTCTTGAGAATCCATGGTCCACATCTGAGGAGGCAACAAAAGAGTGCTCAGTGAAGACTGTTCTTCCATTTTCTTATGATAACCAATATTCTAGCCATGACTGTGTTCTTGAAGATGCTGGTGATAGAAAGGATAGAAAGAAGAAACATGCCCATCGAGATTGTAGTGAAGGTTTTAAGGAGCAATTAGTTGATGTAATCAGGCCTTATAATTCTGAGGTCTCTCTAGTAGTTAACGACCATGCTCTTGATATACCACCCATAGATGATAATCACAGGGAAGAACTGCCAAGATTGGCTCCTGTAAGGCTCAAGTCTGAAGAAAAGTTAACAAATCTTAATTGGGAAGAGAAGGCTGACCACCATGGTTTTGGAGGGACGCATAATAGAGTGATGCACAATAGTGCAGACAATACATTTATGATTGGATCGTTTTTAGATGTCCCTGTTGGGCAAGAGATTAATGCATCAGGTATGGCTTTGTTATGCCTTTGAATTTTTTAGCTTGATCTTTATGCTCTTTCACATATTTTTTTTCACACCGTAAGGTTTATTTTAATGCCAACTTCTTTTGTAATAAACATTATATATCAGAATTATGCTTGTTGCCTTTTGTTTGCTTTATTACATGTATGTATATGATTATATTAGATGGATGTAATGAAATTATATCATTAGTTTGGTAATTTCTTTTTATCTAGCACATATAAATATGTCTTCATATGCTTTAAGTTAAAATAGATATGATTATAGTCCTTCCTTTCTCTTCTTCAAATGAAACTTGGTATCTATATTTGACATATTGTGCAATACATTAGGTGGATACTTTTTGGTGAATGATATTTTGCTAGCTATTGAAATGCACCTAAGGTTTCTTTTGTTCATAAAACAATTTTTAACATATCATAAAACTTCGAAGGCCTTGGAATTTCTTTTCCTCAGAGCGAACGAGAGAAATGGTGTTTTTTCTTTAACATAATCTCTCAGGAATAACCATCTTAGGCCTTGTTGTGAATAATCAAGATTGTGGTTGAGGGCCTATAATACTGGTTTTGAATCTGTAGAAATTGAATAAATCAGGATTTGGTGTGCGGTTTCTTTTTTTTTTTTATGAATGGTTAGAACCACAGTTTAATCACTCATAGTATATGTAATCAGCTATGTAATTCCTTTTACCAGTCATAATGTACGCGTCATTACAGAGATTATCATTTTGTGGTCTTGGATTTGACTTTTCCACTTCTTAAGGCTGGAGACCATCAATGGTAAATGTTCGTGAATTCACATTTTATGGAAAGAATATATTTTTTGTGTGAATGCATAAGATTGTTCATTGGGAAGATATTGTTGTTTTTCATTTCGTTTTTTTTAATTTAATTTAATTTTATAATGCTTTTTTTTCTTTCAAGTACTGTGGGAAAAGAGGATTTTTAGTCACGTTTTGTGTAGCAGTTGTTATTCTCTTTATCCTAACTCAAATTTGTTCCATTTTTTTTTGTTGATTATTTCCATGATATGTATCTTCTTAAACTTGCTAAATATTTAATTAACACACACAGAGGTGATTTCCCTTAATGTAACTTATAAAAATTGACTAATTGTATATCACTTTTTTCGTTATGTTTATGCATCCCTATCTAATATGGACGAACAACAGTCTTATGCATTATTGGTCAGTCTTCGCACCTTCAATCTCATCATTCGAGTAGAATGTTACCTTCAAACTGATAATTATAGTTTTACCGGTCATGTTTTGAAAACATTTCCAATTTAATTGGTGGCCTTTGTTGGAAGTACACTATTGGTTATTATGATGCTATATTTGTTCTTGTCCTTATTCCACCAATCATATAGACAAGCGGTAAATTGTCATTCTCTATTTTTAATCTCATCATTCAAATAGATTATTACTATCAAAGTGTTAATCACAGGTTTATCTGTCATGTTTTGAAAATAAGGGGATTCTTGGCTAGTGTTTGGAGTAGACTAATGGTTATTTTACTGATGAATTATTTTTTTGAGTAGAAAGCTATGAATGACTTAGGATAGAATTCTACTTTAATGGCAATATATGAACTTTCTGAAAGTCTAGAATTCTATAAAGCTCGTACCTTTTAATATTTCAGTTATTAAATTCTTACCATTTATCTTTCTTCCACTTTTGTAGTTCGTCGCAATTTTCATTTAGTTAACTTTCATTCTTGTTCATATGTTTACTAGTTTGAATGTCATTCATAATATTTCTATTAAAAAAGCATATGAAAGTTGATTAAAGCTAAATACATGTTTCAGAAAGACTTGTTATGTGATATATTTAGAACTTTGTGGTGGCTGTTGTTCATGAAACATTACTCTGGACCTTTTTATGAGTGCAATTAGTATGCTGCTTCCTATTTTCTTACGTAAATTCTAACTGTATATTGTGATGGAAAGCTTCTAGATGTAAAACTTCATTTATCTATGTTAAAGATCAATAAAGAGCTTATAATAGCCACCTTTTTATGTATTGTAGAAGGGTTTGAAAGATTTTCTGATGACTCTAGCTGTGTCGACTCATGACATGAACTTTTGTATTTACGGGCAACATATCTTAATTACTCTCCCATGAGTGCAGTTTTACGAGAAGAATGAAAAATTTGATTGTGAAAGAGGGAAAAACAAAGCTTATTCCATTTTAATTCATTTGTTTTGATCATGGTGAATCATCGAGATTTCATGATACTGATCCATTGAAACTTCTAGTAGGTCCAGACACACAGTCAAATAAATTCCACAACTTGTTCATCAACAATTTTTTCTTCATACTACGTCTTTTATTGTTTCTTCGATACTTTTACATTTTTTTATCATGTTTGGGGGTAGTTGCTTTTATTTCATTTGCTTAAGAGCCCTCTCAGTCGCCTCCTCTTGTTGGCTTATTTATCCATTGAAACTTCCCAGACTCGTATTCAAACCAATTCCACAACTTGATTATCAACAATTATTTCTTCATACTGTCTTTTTAGTGTTTCTTGAATACTTTTACTTTATGTATCCTGTTTGGGGGTGGTTGCTTTTACTTCATTCGCATAACAGCCCTCCCAGCTGCCCTCCTCTTGTTGGCTTATTTCACATTTCCCACTCTCTTTGTTGTCTCTTTTTGCAACCTTTTCTCTTATATTTTGTTCTCAGCAAGTTGATCTACTGTATTCAAGGCTCTCTTTTAGTGAGTTTGCATCAATCATATATGACCACATACATAACTCTACTTTATTTAAATCCTTACAAATAACTTCTAGCCTAGTTATCTTTGGTCAACTATTATTTATTTATTTTTCTTTTTAATAGTTGTGTCCAGTTACTTAATTTATTCTTTACCAATACTTCATTGTACATTCCTAAGATCACCAAATTCTTTTTTCTATAATCATGTTTTTAGCACTTACTTTCCTCCAATCTCTCTAATTCATTAATTTTACTCTCTGGTGTCTTCAGCTTTTTCTCCCATCAATCACTATTTTATTTTTCACCCAAACTAACTTGATTTTCATTATTAATTTGTTTCTTAACATTGGATCCATACAGAGAATCAATCTTATTTGAAATTTAATTTGAAGTCTTTTAGATACTCTGCTGTGATATCCTTTATTGCATATATTGCCAAGCAACTTCTCTAGTCTATCCACCCAACTTTAATCATCGCATAATATACAATATCCATGCTTGGGTATATGCGCATTGCTGTGCTCGCTAATCCTCTAGCCTTCCCCTTTGAAATTTCCTACTATTAAGATAATCTAATAATCTTCACTTTTGGATTATTTTCATTCTTATACTCCTTTTTTAAAGGTTTGTGAGTATTTTTATTGACCTATTTAGTTGCCATTAGAATTTGTGATTCTCATAATTGATTTTAGAATGCGGCTTCTCTATCCATTGCCCACTTTTCAACAAAATTTGGTTAGGGATGGTGCACATCACTTATTGGTGATTTCCTAGCCAACCAGCTTATCATAATTTTTTAGTCACGACATATCACTTATAGGGAAGACATGGGAATTAACACATTTAAATTTAAGATATCCCAACGGCATTGCTAGACCTTTCTTAGTGGGCTTGGATCCTGCAATGAAATGATTTTGCTTTTTCTCTTTCCATTCTCAATAATTTTCTTTTGCATCATGGGAACTTGAATAATTTTCATTTGTTATTTTGATGTTGTATGGAATATAAGATCAAGAGACCCGAGCATCTATCATAAATCATGATTTGTATTGCTCAGGCCACATATTGAAATTTTAATAGGTTAGGCTGCTCCTAAAACACTATGCCAATTTAGCATGCGTCCATTTGGTACTTTGATATATTGGATACACATGCATAGAACCTTTCTTACTCTGTTTGCAACCATTGTACTTAGTTATAACATAACCACAAGAGATTTAGATCTCTAATCATGGCTGAGGGAGTTTCCGGGATAAGTATAAGGACAATGAAACCTTCTTTCTGAAATTTTTGTGGGCAATAATTTAGTTGAAGTGCCTAAACAATTTTTGCTCAGATTGCTGCAGCACTTACTTTCTTGCGCATACTGCCACAGAACTTATGCATTCAGAGAAAATTTCTATTGCACCTAAATTTCTGCTGGATAATTGTATGAAATCAGGTGGAAAGCGGACTAGTGGAGGCAGTTGGCTTTCGGTAAGTCAAGGAATTGCAGAAGATACTTCTGATTTGGTTTCTGGTTTTGCCACTGTCGGGGATGACTCTATGGACTATCCGAATGAGTACTGGGATTCTGATGAGTATGAAGATGATGATGATGCTGGATACATGAGACAGCCTATTGAAGATGAAACATGGTTTTTGGCACATGAGATAGACTATCCAAGTGACAATGAGAAAACCACTGGCCATGGGAGTGTTCCTGATCACCAAGACCGTGCCCTAAGGAAGGATGACGATGATGATCAATCTTTTGCTGAAGAGGCTTCTTACTTGTCTGGGGAGCAATATTTCCATAGGAAGAATGCTGAGCAAGTTACTTGCTCTGATAGACCCTTGGGTTCATTGTTTGAAATATATGGAAAACCAGATGATAATAATCTGATTACTCAGTATGATGGAGAGTTGATGGATGTTGAAGAGCTAAATTTAATGCGTGCTGAACTTGGCAGGGCTTTGTTAACCAGGGAAATGAGCTCATTATGCTAGAAAATGGGAAGGCCTTTAATGAACGAGAACTATCACGGCCTGCTCATCTGATGGATGATGCACACCATAGTTCTGTAAGGTCAGTTGGGGTGGGCATAAACAGTGAAGCTGCTGATATTGGCAGCGAAGTTCGTGAAAGTTTAGTTGGTGGTAGTAGTGAAGGTGATCTCGAGTATTTTCATGATCTTGATACAGGCATAAGTGGTTCTGGGCACTCTAAATCTAATACCAGTACAAGTTTTTTAGTTCAGTCGAAGATGGACATGTCTAAGAAAACTAAACCCAATTCTAATAAATATCTTATGACTTCTGATAATGCAAAGGAAGCCCATTTTGTTGATGTTGGCTTTTCTTTTCCACACCCAGTGCAAAAAGGGGATAATTTGGGGGTGAATTCAGGTAAATCATTGTGGTCAAGTAAGGGTGATATCGCTGTTGATGATGTTAATGAAGAATATGGAAAGGCCATTGGTGCGGAGGATATGCTAGCCACATGGAGACGAAAAAGCGGCAATTCTTCACCTGTAAGGAGCTCTAGAGATGAAAGATTTTCTGATACTGTTAGATCTAGAAATTCAAGTGGTTCATCAGCGTCAAACTCTGCCTATGATGAAAGAGAGACATTCAGAAATGTACGTGAAGGCAAAATGAAGAATGAAAGGGAAGAGGAACCGGGCATAACTCTAGAGGATGAAGAATCAGCTGCATTGCAGGAGCAAGTAAGACAGATAAAATCACAGGAAGAGGAATTTGAAACTTTCAATCTCAAGATTGTGCACAGAAAGAACAGGCATGCCTGCTTCATCTTTTGTTATTTTTAAATTTTTTTCTATATTCGATTTGTAACTTGAACCTCGCAAGAAAGAAGTAATGATTCATATGTACTGATTTTTCAGCCTTTTTTTCTTTGCGCTAATTTTTATCTTATTTTATTGCTATCTGCTGTATGAAGTAATTTTTTCAAGTTGTTTGCCACTTTTCCACAATGTGCAGGACTGGCTTTGAAGAAGACAAAAATTTTCATGTTGTTCTTAATTCAGTAATTGCTGGGCGTTACCATGTTACAGAATATCTTGGGTCAGCTGCGTTCAGCAAAGCGATCCAGGCACATGACCTGCACACTGGTATTGATGTATGTGTGAAGATTATAAAGAACAATAAAGATTTTTTTGACCAGAGCCTTGATGAAATTAAGCTTCTGAAATTTGTTAATAAGAACGATCCTGCTGACAAGTACCACATTTTGCGCCTGTATGATTACTTCTACTACAGGGTACGAAATGTTTTCATATTTTCTCTTATGGGAAACTTAGTCTATTTTTAAAGTTTGGTTAATGCTCTCATCTTATCTCGTCAACATTATGTTGGAAACAATTTCGTCTAAAATTAATTTAATCATTACATCATCATTGCCTTGTTCCAATTTTTCTTGGACACATTTTACTTTCTCCTGATACATTACCAGATGTCTGTCTTTTGGCTTTTTTTAATATTTGATTTCTTTGTTTATAATCTAAAATATATTTTTTTTCAAGAATAGTAAAAATTTGTTGTCCATGAGTGCAGCAGATGGAATCGGTTCTTGAATTCATAGATGTTCATTCTTTTTTCACTCTTGGTTCGTTTTTATGAAAGTGATTAAAGTCCTTTCTAAGTAATTTTATTCTGTGCAGGAGCACTTGCTGATTGTTTGCGAACTTCTTAAGGCAAACTTGTATGAATTTCACAAATTCAACAGAGAATCTGGAGGGGAGGTTTACTTTACCATGCCAAGGCTGCAGGTTTTAAAGCTTATTTAATTTTACAAGATTTCATATTTGGTAAACTTTAATTAATCTAAATACTAATATATAATTGTCATCTCTGGCGCAGTCAATTACTATTCAGTGTTTGGAGGCACTTCAGTTTTTGCATGGCCTTGGCCTCATTCATTGTGATCTGAAACCTGAGAACATTTTGGTAAAAAGCTATAGTAGGTGTGAGGTAAAAGTGATTGACCTTGGTAGCAGTTGTTTTGAAACAGATCATCTCTGTTCTTATGTGCAATCACGCTCATATCGTGCACCGGAAGTTATTTTGGGGCTCTCTTATGGCAAAAAGATTGACATATGGTCACTTGGATGCATCTTAGCTGAACTTTGCACCGGCAATGTAAGGTTTCTTCTCCCAATTCACTTCTCATTTGTTTTCACATGAATTAGATAGTGATTTTCTAAATATTTCAGTTTTTAATTACATTCTAGAATCTAGGTTTTATGTTGTGGAGCCACTTTTAACGTTATATGGCATTCTGGAACATTGTTGCTTTGCTTCTATGTACTTAAGGTCCTGATTATTAGGGGTAGTATGAAGCTTTTGCATTGAGAATAAGGAGTCTGTTTGGGGATGTTACAGTGGTTTATAAGAGTAACGGTACATTTTTTTTTTAAAAGTCCTAACATTAGTTTTTTTTTTCTTTTTTTGGGGGGGGGGGGGGGGGGGGGGGGGGGAGGAGCATGGGTTGGAATTACATATGTAGCAAACAATTTGTATAGATTTACATGTCTCGCACTTAGAATTCCATATTTGCATACAATAAACCTATTGATGAATGAAAAGGTGTATCTCACTTTTTAGAAGTGGTGCTAGTACTATTTTTGATGCAATATTATAGATTTGAGTAATATGTGTAAATATGATAGCTTAGGTGTGAGATATGTTAATACATAAGAATTGTGTGCAAAGTATGTAAATGCCCTTTTTTTCTATTGCTATCATGCTTTAGCAGATTTAGTTACAAAAATTTATTTTTACCACAAAAAATTCTAGAAGGTTGTAAATATATAGGACAATGGTAGCTATTTGGAAAAGCAAAACTATGAAAAAGCTATCCGAGATGGATTCTATCAGGAGTGCTGTAAATAAATTGAGTTGAGCTGAGCTTCTTGTTTAATTTTATTTATCGAGTTCACATGAATTTGAACATGGTCCATCTTAAAATCTTTCTTAAGCTTGTATATTAATTTTCTTAAGATATAACCATAATTAATCTTTAATCGAGCCTTCAGTAATTTTATTTATTATGCCACGCATTAAGACATATATCCTTATTAATAGATTTGAAGCTTTTAATTAAAATCGTTATAATTGTCTAGATATTATTTATATTTTTTGGTTGCGTTCAATTATTATTAAGGAAAATATTTTAATCAATATTAAATATTTTTTTGATATTTTAATCTGACTGTATGCAAAAGTTTTAAAGTTTATTAGTTGAAAAAACATTTATGCAAAAACATAGAATACAAATATGCAATGGAGCTTATATTTAATAAGCAATTTTTCTAGTTCTTGATAAACTACTTGTTAAACAACGAATATGTATATACCTTAAATATGGACTCTCCTCCATATTGAAGGTCATTCCTCTACACCAAAAGTTATCTTCTTTCAATAAGAGCGACAAAAATATGTGAAGGAGATTCTCTTTGAAGATGTTGGTAACTTGCATGAAGAAGATGGAATAAAATGTTACTAAGAAGTTAGTAATCAAGATGCTGAGAACCCTTATGCTAGAAATCATATTCAAAATATCCTAATTATGAAAATTTAATGATGAAATAATGGAATGGAAAATTGCATAGAGAGTTAGTAACAAATGCAAATCACTATTATACTTGGTTGCTTGGAAAGGCAAATTCTCAAATGTCCTCATTGATAACAATTAATAGAAATGCTCTCTTTAGATAGTTGACTTGAAAGATTCAGATCATAAGGCATGTTACATAAATATTTTCTATATTTATAGTTTATGGTATGAAAATTAGTATGTTCATATATTGCTAATAGGGAATTATTAAAAATGGTTGGAATATGTTTTATCATTCTTTCAAAATTTGACACTTGATTCTATGTTCATAGTGCCTAACTTAGATTTCAACACTCTTATCGATCAATAAAATTATGTTATTAATTTTCATCTATTTTTTTGCCATTTTTAAGAATTAAATTTGATATTGATGATTAGTAGTACAGAGATTTGTTAATGACTCCACTTTTTAAAGAATGATTGCTCAAGCATGGTAAAGGCTCAAACAACGTGTTTTGTACCCTTCAAAATTTTAGTCTCAAATTTTAAACACTTTCGATGATGATAGTGATATGTGGCCTACGTTATTGCCTAGAACTTCCAAAAATTTTTTACCTTAAAAATTAATTCATCTATTTAAAATGCAGTGGACTTTTTATGAGTACTTTATCATTTAACTAGAAACATCCATAGTTCCTATCATAATTATGCTTAAGAACCTTCCTTATCTTTTTATTTGGTCTGCATTGATGTGCGCAAATCATTTGGGTTCAAAAATATATTTATAGCTAGATGATTTATTTTCTTTATCAATGATTATTCTAATCTCACTTGGTTTTTTTTCAAAAAAAAAGAAAATTTTAAATGGGTCAAGTTTTTAAACAATTCAAAATCATGATACACGTTTAATTTTAGTCCAAAATTAAAGTTTTAATTGCCAACATTGCTAAAAAATGCTAATAATCAATCTTCAAAATTATCTTCTATACGAAGAGTTTATCCACCAAAGCTATTGTAGCATTAGTTCTCTACACAACTGTGTTTGCTAAAAAGTAAAACAAACACTTCTGAGGGGTAGCTAGTTCACTAATACTCTCCGCAAATATTTTTGAGTTTCTTTGGAAAAACAATTGATCAAATAATTATCTATCTCATTAATAGCGTGTCTTCAAGTGTACTTTAATTTCAAACCCATATGCAAATCATTCTCTATCTATGTCCCCTGCTCTAAGATATTTTCCTTCATTTAGGTTCATCTCAACATCAGGGGCGAAAATAACGTCTTTTTTGAGGGGGGCATACTTGATTCACAAAGAAATGAAACAGATCCAAAATGTTTCCTTGATTAATTGATTCAGGTTATTTATTATGGCCACAAAATGATAATCCTTGTCATATCACCCAATTCCTATGTATCTACATATCTAACACATTTATACCACTGAAATCTTTCATATCACATGAATAGTACCATTATTTTTAATTTTTAAAAGTTGAAATATACCATTCCATGCATATATAAGGTGATATATATATATATATATATATAAATTGAAGTTTAGGTGTTCGATATGTAAATACATCAGAATTGAGTGGTATGTAAGTAACTCTTCCTTTTTTAAAAAATGGTCATTTCTTAATTGTTTTCCCATGCATTATAAACCGAAGAATAACAAAAATTTTAAATGCAAATTTAGTTGGAGATGTATTGATAGAGCAGTCATTCATTTTTTTAGTACAAGATATTTAATTTATTAATCCCATCAAACAATAGCTTTGTTTGATTGCATAAGCAATTCACAATTAATATGCCATCGAAGCGAGTAAGTTATCTATTCGCTTCTCTATTAACCACGTTACCATACAACCAATCATCTCCATGGCCATGATCTCCTCTTCCTTCTCGAAGAACTTTCATTCTTCAATGCACCTTTCATCTTCCTAACGGCCACCTTGCCTTTGTGCTCCGCGAAGATTTTGTCGCGGGTTTGTGGAAGTGCTGAAGAGGCAAGGGCGTAAGGAGGCGAAGTAATATTTTTGAGAAAGGGGGGGGGGGGGGGGGGGGGGGGCGGGTGATCATTGGGCCG